AACCCATGCTAACATGCTATAACGAGCAGCGAACATTACTAATATCAACTCTTAATTTTGTTAAATTCAAATAAAAGACCTCTGCCCTTTATGTTGCTTTTACCTGCATTAGTTCACATATTATATAGATTCAGTAGCTTATTTAATCATCCAGAGAAAAGAAATGCAGTGTCATGCTTATCATGCAAGGTCACATGGGAAGAGAAAGCTCAGCTGTATCCACTTCACACAAAATCAGAGCACAACTCCTCTAAACCCAACAGGACGCACCACCGACACATAATGAATGGAGGGCTTTGGCATACACACCTCACATGATGATTCTGTGCTTTATTGAATTACTTCAGATTATTGTGTACAGTATTACACAGAATGAGAAATGGAAAAAAAATGGCAGCTAAAATAAATCAAGATTAAAAATTTAGTCGTCCTGCTGTTTTTGTCTTGTTTGTGTATTTCTATGTATATGCCAAAGCCAGCAGCTGAAAAGGTGACTGTGAAAGGTTGCCATGGGGACAGTAGCTTGCAGAGGGAGACAGCTTTAGGGTCAAGAGGACAGCGTCCGAACAGGAGACAGCAGTCCAGAGCTCACCCCGATGACCAACAACACACATACACAATATATGCACACACCAATTACATAAGCTCAAATATAAAAACTGAAACTGTTTAATTAATTAGCAGGAATATATGATGAGAGAAAAAGAGGTGAAGATGAACACATCAGTTGGTGGTCCGATAAAGAACAGTGATTGTTAATTATCATAATAAACTTACAATTTGGTCATGTCAGAATAAACAAACAGCAGTTTTAGAATGGGATGACATCTACGGAAATAACTTAAAACCAAACTGCACTTGTAAAACGATTAGAAGTATAAAAATTAAAAAAACCCTGATTAAGACACACAATAAATAAATTAAAACGTATAATCTATCTGCCCTCACGTTGTGTCATTATGTGAACCACCAGCAGCTACAGTCTTACCGGCAAGCCTTTTTCTCCCGGCTCTCCTTTGGGACCTGGTGCTCCCTATGAACACACAATAAACACGTGAATTTAAAACATTAGTGAAAGTTGTGCAGCAGTTCAGAGCCGCAGAATGAGCTTCCCGTCCCTCGGTGATTGTGCTGTTGCTCTTCATTGTGCTGCTGGTGAGTGTACCACTGCAACACAACCACACATGACATGTGCGCAAAGCTGAGAAGAGGCAGCTTACCGGTTCGCCTCGGAGACCTCTATCTCCTGGGTGACCTAAAGGACCCTGAAAAAAACAAACGTATGTCACAGAAAGCTCATGATGACTGAAAACGTAACACAGCAGCATGCTGTGGAGGGGCTGATGTTTAAACACATGGCAAACATCAGAAAACCTGCAGTTACAAAATAACACCGCTGCCATAGCTCTGCAGTGGAAGGCTGGATAATGAAGCCACAACGAGAGTACTCACTCTCTCCCCACGCTCTCCCTTCGGCCCCACAGGGCCATGCACTCCTGGAGATCCAGGTTTCCCCTGCAATCAGCGAAAATAAAAATGAAATGACAAAGATACACATGTGCATCGGTGAATCTCGTTGTGCTAACATCACCATGAAGTTGTGGGAAAGCTTACATTTTGCCCTGATGGGCCAGGAGGTCCAACTGGGCCTCTGGGACCTGGGGGGCCTGTGGGTTAGATGCAGAGCTGTTAGTTCTACCTGATGAAGAACACTGAGCTCAGTCTGACATCCAACATTTCTGGAAGTGTTTATGCTGTCGGGAGCATTAGTGAAGCTTTTCGTGTGGAGAACGTTTGCGTTTGGTCACAAATACATCTTTGTGTGTTTAAAAGCACAAAACTGGGAGGCACAAACTTATGGCAGAAACAAACAGAGATTTAAAATCTGCTAGGGAAACTTTAAGAAAATGTATATTATAAAAGCAATGTATGTAAAGCGCACTCACCGACAGGCCCCGGAGGACCCTGAGGTCCAGGAACAGGCAAACCTCTTGAGTCGTGGAAGGTGTTGGTGAAGAAGGGGTCTTTACCACGATCTGGAGTTGAAATGAAATGTGCACATTTAAGCTACTCTCCTGACTAAACTGGAACAAATGAAGTAACATTTGCCATAATATTAATTTGACTGATGATTATATAAACCACAGACCTGTTTCACTAATAATAAAGATATTTTAGTATGATTTAAGCACAATGATGTTTAAGAATAAGGCCAAGCATTTAGGTAGGTTTGAACAACATACAATACCTTGAACTGGAAAGGAAGTGAATATTTTGGTTTTGCAGACGTCACACATTGCCTAATATTTTAGTATACTGTATATATTTTATTGTGTAAAAGTAACCCAAACTTCTTAAAGCTGTCAGCCAAATTACTGAACAACATTTGAACCAGACGTCAACTCAGTAAAGTTCACTAGAGGGCAGTGTTTGTTAAAAAATGGGCACAATCTCATTGGGAGTACTCATCGATGAGAAATAGATCAGAGTTGAATAGTTATCGCCCACAGCTGAAGGCAAAAGGGCAACAATGTTTTTAACCTGTGTGTTTGTTTGTCTGTCTGTTAGCAAAATAATTCCTAAACCACTAGACAGATTTTAATGAAACTTACAGAAATTAATCACTGGATGTACATCTGCAACTGATTAACTCTAGGAATCGCCTGGATTTAAGGTGGACACCAAAACTAGTCAGCTTTAGAAAACATAAAAATGTCTCTAACTCAGCCAGTTTTACAGATACTGAGTTAAGGTTTTGTGTGGTTGGAGCCTCAGAGTCGTTAAGCACTAAACATTGTACTACATCTCTACTTAATCTTTAGCATTAACGGTTTGCAAACTCATGAATCTCTAAAAGGATAAATAGACTGTATTTATATAGCACTTTTCTATCTGATCAAGATACTCAAAGCACTTTACAACACAATCTGTGTCCTCATTTACCCATTCATACAGCGCTCTACTAGATCTATACAAAGGATAATCAGAGCTTTATCACATTCATACACTGATGGGACACACATCAGAG